ACCCTACAAATCCAACACTGCTCCCAACTATTCTCCATCTCCTTCCACTTCCTAAACCCTACAAATCCAATGCTGCTCCCAACTATTCTCCATCTCCTTCCATTTAAACCCTACAAATCCAACACTGCTCCCAACTATTCTCCATCTCCTTCCATTTAAACCCTACAAATCCAACACTGCTCCCAACTATTCTCCATCTCCTTCCCCACCAACTGCTTTCCCTTTTTAGGGATTTTTAATGTTTTATTTGCCTGAGCTTGGGAAAAATCCATCTGCCAGTCCCTGCGGTTGGACTCTTCTCCAGGAACAGCTTCCCCTCTGTTTTCTTAACCTTGGAATTCACTCTTATCTGTGTCAGGGTTTCATTTCCTCTTTGCCTCCTCTGATTTCACTCCATGCAGGATATTTAGCATATAAATGAACTCACTGGAATATCTGCACAAGCCTCCTGCCGGTCCTCCCACTTAAAAAGCCACTCAGTGTTGTGTTGGAAAATGTCATTTATTAGTTCATTCCCCAGGATCCACATTTTGGGTGAGTCTGTTGGATAGGATTTATTTTTATGTTTTATTTTTTTTTGGTTGGGGTGGTTTTGGCATCGCTGACTTTCCATCCCAAACACCACCAAGGCAGTGAAAGTTGAATTTTGTGGATTAAACTCCTCATCCATCCCTATTTGAATAGCAGTGGACTCTGAATTGTGTGGAATAAGACTCACTTTGGGGTTGGAGGAATTCATGGCATTCCAAATTGGAATTTGAATTGTTTTTAAATAAAAGTGACTCGTAGTCACATTTATCTACCACTGAGCAAATAATTCCAAAATTGAAATGCTACATTGCTTTTCAAGAAGAGAATTATTTCATTTTAATAGCTTTTTCAGGTATTGGCCTAAAAATTTCAACTAAAAATGTTCCTAAATAGGGACAAAAATAAAAATAACGTCTTCCCAGAATGTTTTACCAAAACCTTTCCATGTTTCTTCCTTCTTGGCTAAAACAATTTGCCAGATGAGTGTCCAGCCACTTGGGTTTAGTTGTGGCAGTCCATGATCCCAAACTAAATGATCCCAAGATTCTCTGATTTTGTGATGTTCTTCCTGCCACTAGAAAAATATGGACTAAATATATTATATATAAATATAAAAAAAATTTATATATAAATATATACCAGTTGAATAAAATATTTCTCACAGAAGATGCTTTAGGTCCACTTGTAATCCTAATTAATTATCTGAATAAGCTCATTAAATATAAAATAAATAATTCTGAATTCTTCGGGAGGAAAAAAAAACCCTGGGCAAGGCACTGGGGTTGTTCTGCACCCTGGAAATCAAATGAAAAGATCAAATAAAGCAACTCTGTTCTCCAGAAAATGTATCTAAAACTGGTTTTAACAATCCTAAACCAAAATTTGGGGTGACTTTAGATCAGCTTTGCTGGATTTTTGGGTTTGCTTTTGACCCCAACACTTTTTAAAAGGCTTTGAAAACTATGTGTTTGGGGGATGGAAAAGAACCACTTGGGTTTTTTCCTGGGAACAGGGAACAGCTCTGGAGGATTTTCTTGCTGGGTTTCATTTTGCTTCCAGAGCAGTTGTTTATCTTCATCTTGTCTAAGCTGTGGGTCTCAAACCTTTGCTTAATTAAGGCTGGAACAGTAAATAAACAAAATTATTCCTTCTTCCATGGAGAGCAACGAAAGGTATGTGAGAGGCAGATAACAGTGTTTATATTTTTGAAAACTTTGGGGTTGTTGTTGGTTTTTTTTCCCCCTTTCATCTTCTCCAAACCTCCCACCAGCAAAGGGCAAAAAACCAGCTCAGAGAAGCAGGAACCCCCCAGAAGGGTAAATTTTGTGGGTGGCTCGTGGTTTGAAATCAGGGTAAAGACATCCCGGCATTTAATTATGAAATAATAATTGGGGATTGGGAATTGTAACCAGCAATTTCACTGGGAAAGAGGGAAATGTTGGTCCTGCAGGGAGGTTTAATAACAATGAACGTCGGGCAGCACCCGGAGCTGGGAGCCAGGGCTGGATTCCGGCATTCCTGGGCTTTGGAAACTCAGCTGCCTTCCTGGAATGCTCGGAATTGCTGGGAAAAAGAGTGATTTTAAATCTTTTCAGGTCTCTGAGCGTATGTCAGGGGAGGGCTCTGGGGCAAGAGGGACAGCACGTGTGGTGTGACAGCACGTTCCCGTTCCAGCGGGGGGGGGAAAGCAGGGATTGAAGGGATAAAATGGAAGTAGAGGATCTTTTTGAGGGAGCAGGGCTTTGGGAGTGGGTTGAGGCTTTTTTTAAGGGTGTTCATTGGTGTGGGTTTGCAGTGTAATCCAGACCTGGGATTTGTCAGAAAGCGGGATCATGGAATCCCAGACTGGTTTGGGCTGGGAGAGACCTTAAAGCTCATCCAGTTCCACACCCTTCCATGGGCAGGGACACCTCCCACTATCTCAGGTTGTTCCAAGCCTTGTCCATCCTGACCTTGAACACTTCCAGGGATGGGACAGTGCCAGTTTGCCACTGGAAACCTGAATCCCAGAGTCCTTGGGGTTGGAAAAGCCCTCCAGGATCGAGTCCAACCCAGCACTGCCAAGGCCACACTAAGCCAGGTTTAAATATGTTCCTGTGTGAGAAGCAGAGCAAAGTTTTAGACTAATAACAGGTATTTTTATTTTGATGTTTCATCTAGGTAGGAAGCTGTTAAATCTGGTCTAATTATTTAGGTAAAAATATAATCTCAGCTCATAAATAGCTTTCAAGTGCAGGCCTGACCTAATGCTGGTAAACTTTTATGGTTTGTCTGCAGTGGAATGAATCTCCAAACATTTGTGGTTTGGAACAAATATTTGTTGACTATTAAAACTACTGGGTGTAAACAGAGAAGGGGGAACTCCATTGGATTTGCTGAGTAAATTAAAATTAATTGAATTAAAGGCACAGTCAAGGATCTTGGAGCATCTTGTTTATTTTAGGCAGCAGGAGGATATATTTGACATGATAAATCTTACTCTTCTAGCTTACCTAATTTTTAAAAAATCACATTTTTTCTGAGCAGAATTAAGAAGAATATCTCTCAGAAGTGCTTTGATTGTTTGAATCAGGTTTAGAATCAAAGAGTTTTAAAGTGAAAATGGAGCCGTGTTTGGGGGTTCAGCTTAACAATAGTTGGAGTGATTTATTTTCTGACTTCTCAGTAGAAAGAGATGATTCTCTGATTCTGTAACAGCAACATGTGAAAACCAACGAAAATACCAGGATCGAAACCAAGGAAAATACCAGGATCATCTCAGTTCAACACAAATTTTTATATATATAGTAAGGATTTTGTGTAAGATTGTGACACCAACTGACATTTTAATTCACTGTACATGTATTTTTTCCATAGTCTGCTGTGCTTCAGCCACTACTGAAAAAGGAATTTCCCTCTAATTTTTGCCTGGATCCATCTGTTTTTCCTGGTTTTGCTTGGATTCCCAATGCTGCTGACAAGTTGGTGTGTCAGGACAGGCAGTGATGCTGAAGGAAGGGGCTTCTGATCCCCGTGGAAGGGACTGGAAGGGAGAGAAAGGACATGAAACTTTGCTAAAAATGGCCAGTGCTGTGAAAGGAAATGCAGGAAAAATTCCAGGCTGTGTCAGTTGTTTCCTCCAGCAGTGACTCACTGAGGGAATTTTGGGAAATCACTTGATTTTTGTTGCTCTGCTGAGCAAGTGCAGCGGGAGGGTGATGATAGAGCTGCACTGGACATAAATATCCTCAGATTTATTCCTGGGTTTCTCCTCCAGTTCTTTGAAATTCGGAATTTCTTGAAATTCTGAATTTCTTCATACTGCTCTTCCCATTGCTCCTTTTCAGGCTGATGAATAATTTGGATCAGGGTGGTGCTTTGCCATGGGTCTGTGCCCAGGATGCTGAAGTGAGCCCAGCTGTCAGAAAACCCCCCTTTTCGTGCAGTTCTGAAGACAAAACCCATGAAACTGTTTGTTGGAGCGGGATATTTATTTAATTTCGGACTTATTAACATCCTTTGTTTCCATAACAAAAGAAGTTTCCTGGGATCTCTGACGAGTGCTGATGGAAAAGAGTTGGTGGGTTTGTGTGTGTTTGTATCACATCGGGTTTATTGATGTTTTAGTCACCAGCTCACAGGGGCTGCACACTGGAGTATTTGAATTAATGTAATTAATTTAATTTAATGTTAGAAACCCTGGGATTTCTCTGGGTTGTCGTGCTTCAAAAATCCACTTGAGCCTGCGAATGAGGAGATTTAAACTCTGAGATGTTCTTTTAAAAACCCCAACCTGTGGAACCGGCTGGGCCCGGAGCTTTTACATCCCTAGAAAAACCATTCCCCGACTCTGGGCTCTGACCTGGCTGTGTTTGGGTGTTGTGCTGGTTTAAAGGTAAACTGGCAGGGGAAATGAACCCAACTCAGAAGAGAGATTATAAGTCAGAATAACAATTTAATAAAATAATACAATAAGTACGATCATACAGACAAACGATTGGTTTTAACCCACAAAACCCAAATGTATAACCCAGCACCCGGGGGCATGAACAGAGTGGTGTTCTTTGGGCGCCCTGAGTCCAAAGTAAAAGGAGAGGGGAAAACCTGTTGGTGAGAGTGCTGGTGCAGTCTGGTCGAGAGCGGTGATCTGCAGTCTCCCTCTGGATCCCACGAGTGGTTAAAAAAAGTCCCAAGACTCCAAGATTATATATCCTCCAGTTCAGGCAGGAATGCCTAGTACCTCCCTCAGGGTGGGGAGTTTCACAAAGGGTGTGAGGACAAGAGCATCCTCCTATCTCACAGGCCTCTTAACACCCAGTTTGTAGCCTGAGGAGTCAGGCTCTATGTGCAGATGGTGTAAATGCTCTATTGATAACAGTTTCTGGGCAATGGCATGGAAGGCTATAGAATACACAGTTTTGGGTTACACCTATACAGTGATGAGCTGGTCCCAGCTGTTCTAACTAGGACAGGTGTGTTTGTGCCCTCAGATCGTGAAGCTGAAGGCCGAGGCCCGGCTGGAGCTGCTCAAGCAGATCGGGGTGTCGGTGGACACGTGGCTCAGGAGCGCCATGAACCAGGTGATGGAGGAGCTGGAGAGCGAGCGCTGGGCCGGCCTGCCCTCGGCCCCCAGCAACGGCCCCGCGCACCTGGTACGTGGGGAACTTCTCCAGCGGCAACTCCGGACTTTGTGGGGGATGGAAAGAGGCCAGAGAGGCACCGGAGACGCTCTGAGGGCTGGAGCCAGGCTGGGAGAGCTGGGGGGGATCACCTGGAGAAGAGAAGGCTCCAGGGAGACCTGAGAGCCCCTTGCAGGGCCTAAAGGGGCTCCAGGAGATCTGGAGAGGGACTGGGGACAAGGCATGGAGGGACAGAACACAGGGAATGGCTTCCCACTGCCAGAGGGCAGGGAGAGATGGGATATTGTGAAGGAATTGTTGGCTGTGAGGGTGGGGAGGTGCTGGCACAGGT